ACCTCCATGATGTCCAGCACATTGAAATTCTTTCCGAGGGGGAAATTGAATGCCTATAGAGAAAGACGATGGAGTTAAAATGCATGTTTGGTGTTTGGGGAGTGTCGTGGCGGACCGCGCGCAGCCACGCTTGCCGCTTGCTCCGGGCCTCCGGGGCTTCACCCACCTGGCGGCACTCCGCGCACCGACCGTCGGCGAGCTGTTTGAGGCACTGCAGGCACGCCGTGTGCCCGCACGGCATCACGTGCGGCGCGTGTTGGCCGTAGTCGTACTGCCTCACGCAGATCTTGCACCGCAGGACGGCCTCCATTGGTCGAGCTGATCCTGTGACACATAATAGGCACATTAGGTAAGCATAGGCAAAGTTGGGTCAAGTGCCAGGGACGGGGCTGGGCTGGGGTCAAAATCCTCTCTAAGTAAAAGTTGCATTAGCGCAAATTCTATTTGAAATGTGTGGCTCTCTGAACGGTGAGGCCGGCGCCTGGGTCCCACATTGGGGTGTGCCATTACTGAACGCGGGGTGCGAAGGAGTTCCCCAGCTCGGATTTTGCCCAACGGAGGTGCATTTCCACTTCACGATATTTCTAAATGCGCCACCATTGGACCGAAAATGAGAGAGCGGAAGCGTAAAAGCGTAGCGCTCGGGTATCGACCTAACCTAACATTGACACATAGTTTTGAATGACATCTTCTTAAAAATGCTGATATTATCGCCACAGCGTAGTCCGAATGTATGACAACAGCAGTAAATGCCATTTAACACTCGTCAAAACCAAATATGAGCCAGGATGAGGTTAGGGCGCGTACCCCCACCTCGCTCGTTAACGCCCAGCGGTTGCGCTTTACGCGAACAGGTCGCTGTAATTATTACTACTCGCTATCACTGTCTGTGAGTTCTCGAGCACGCTCACCTGTATTGTTCTGCGAGGCTTATTCGTGTCGCCGGTGGACGTATCTCCTGCGTCCGTGACTGTGGGTCAGCGACGCCTAGTGATCACTCGGGGCCGGCCGCCCCCCGTGCTTTTAGGTTAGGTGGCGTGACGGACGAGATTCGGGAACCCGAGCGGCCGAGCGGAGATGCCGGAGATGCCGCCACCCCGTGCTTGTAAAGCGGCCGAAAGCGGCCAACAACAACGTCAACAACTTCAAGGCGTCCGCGTCCGGGACAGCTTCTGAGGCAGCCGCCGCCATGGACCATCACGAGCAGGTAGGGCCGAGCATTAAACACGGAGAGAAATAGTAGGATCCGCGATGTGGTGCTGCCAAGGCTGCGAACTGTGAACGTTGTTAAAAGACTTGCAGATGTAGATGATGAGCTGGTTTGCTCTCCCGAGTACTTGGACGCCCTCGGGTCGCTGCTGCGGGCGCACAGGTACCTTGACGTACATCTCTCATTACGACGCCCCGCCCTGCCAATGTTTGAGCCGCCGACTTCTTTGCAGTGGCCAGATACGCTTCGTGATGCTGCAATTTGAAGCACTGCTCCCCCTCGTCGACGCGTGCCCCAGCGTCCTCCACCGTCTGCACATGGACTTACTTGATGGTAAGGGCGAGGTCGAGGTGCTGAGACGATTGCGCGGGTTGAAGGAGCTCAATATCACCCTACGCGGCCGTGGTCGCTTCGAAGTCTATGTTAAGGTGAGCAAGTTAATCTCAGTTCGCCCCACCGCACGCGCAAGCTGTACCTTACCAACCCCCACGCCCCCCTCTTACAGGTAGAGAACTTGTTGAGGTCGCGGTCGGGCTCACTCGAACATCTCGAGCTCATTGGAGTCCGCCCTGAGACGGTACGCGTCCTGGGCGAGAGCGGGCTCAAGAGCCTCCAGTGCCTAGTTCTAGACCCCGATTTTGTCTTGGATATAGCGTGTCGGAGAAGCTGCCGGTGGCGCTCGGTTCTCTGCCGCGTTTGCGCACCTTGGTCTTGAAGCTGAACAACACTAGTGGGAAGAGGCGACTCTCGGAGGAGCGGGTGGTGCGGGAGCTGGTGCGCCTCGCCCGGGCGCTGCACGTGGTGTACGTGCGCGGCCAACTAGAGGGCCTCACCGTGTACTTCAGGCACTCCGAGGCGGAGCGCGGCGGGTGCCCGCAGTGCGCCGAGGCTGTCGCATCCGCGCGCCGCTACCTGCTTCGGCAGTCCATTAGGTGGACTGAGGGCGATTACAATGCGTGCGCGCGCACCAACTTGGCCGTACAATATGTACATGTGTAATATGTGCCTTGATGGCATTGATGGTGATTTAAAACCCGAGGGTGCAGCACAAAGTGTGCAAGAACGAATGTAAAGTGAAACAGTAGTAATAAAATTAATTCCTCTGCAGATAATGTATCGCATTATTCTCTATTTCACTGTAATTTATTGACATACACACGGACGACGACTAAATTTGTACATTGTCACACTCTGCGTCTGCGCACATCACCGTCGGCCCCCCGAGGGCCCGCTCGACCGCGTGGCACTGCGCTTCGCAAAAGGCGCCACTGCGGTGGCCCTCACGCCTCAGCAGCACGAGTCTCCTCAGCGCCGGCAGGCCGCCCCCGCGGCGCAACTTGTCCAGCTCACCGCACGGATAAGGGAGCTGGTCCAACGGAGGCCACGCTTCGGGACCGGTCTCCAGCTCCAGAGCCTGCAGAGTGCCGCTGTGCGCCCGCACCAGGGACAGCGCCGTCCCGGGGGGGAAGTCCTTCATGCTCAGCCACTGCAGGCCGCGGCGCCCCGGCGGGAGCGCGGGCAGCTCGAGGGGCGCGGCGTCCGCGTCAAGGTAACGCGCCTCCAACCTCCTCAGCCGCGGCATGTCGTGTATGGCGAGCAGGTGCACGTCCTGAAGGCCCTCCACCTGCAGCATCTCCAGCGTGGGAGCGGCGCTCAGCAGCAACGCGAGCGCCCAGCTGCTGTCCAGGCTGTTCATGCCGTCCCCGCCACATCTCACATTATTCAGCCGTCCCACCTGGAGCCGAAGCAAGCGGAAGTGCAAGTTGAAGGACCCCTCACGAGCGAATCTTAATCAATTTTTCTAAAATTTGGAAAATTTAAAGGTTTTCCAGAGGGCGACATTTTTCCTAAACCTCTTAATCAGAACAACCCTCATACAGTGTTGGGGCTTACATACACTTGATGAAAACAATAATATGTTTTGAAGTTTCGCAGTACTAAAGGGTAACTTGTCAAAGTACCACCCTCAGGGCCGAAATTTTGTCCGTTTCGCTCAATTGTTTAGCTTATAATCAGCAGGGTTTACTTGAGCCATACACTGTTTTTGTCTGTCACTATCCATCTATCTCCTAGACCATAAAAGATTTTCGGTCCAGACCCAGAGGGCGCTTCTTTGACGAGTTCCACGAGAGCAGTACTTTGCAATTTCAAAACAATATTAGTGTTTTTATCAAGTGTATTGAAGCCCCTACACTGTACCAGGTGGCTGGCTCACGCCGTGCACTTTGGTATAGTAATATACTGTATCGCATGCACGGCGGAGGCCGGGCTTGCTGCCCACGGCTTCTTATGGCCCGTTGGGAGTAGGCAACCCGCCCGCACGCGTGCATGCGGCACAGTATAATAACTACGAAAGTGCGGGAGTCAGCCACCTGGGGTGTCAAGTACCATCCGACCTACAAAGAGAAACGTCACATTTTCTGGTTTTCATCGAAATGTGAGATTTCCACCTGAGACCTCGTCAGCTAGCTATAAGAACGTCTACCCTTCTCCAGCAGTACAGGTAGCTTTCTGTATGCAAATGCTGTCAGGGACTCACCCCGTGTCTCCGGATTCGCTCCATAACGCCAGCCCGGAGAGCATCCTGGCCCAGCCCAACACGGCTTCGGGACCCGCCACAGAGGTCAGCGACATCCTCTACTCGGAGGGGTTGGATGACAGGGACAGGCCCAGCTCCGGCAAGGTTCGGCGCTTCTGCGAGCGGGAGCGGAGCGAGCGGAGCCTCGGCAGGTTCCACTTTTACCACTGCGGGTGGTGTGGATGCCGTGGGGGAAGGCGCCCGCGCTGCCGGTTGGTGCGCACCTAAATTGTCCTGGAAACAAATTGACAACGAAAGTTTTATAAATACAAATTTTTAGCGAACAAGTTTACACTCCGAACGCACCTCTCTAAGCTGCGTCCTCGTCGCCACGAGCAGGCACAGGGCCGCGGCCAGGGGGTCGCCGTCCTCGCCGCCCCGCAGCGTCCCCGTCAG